ATTGCCAACTGGTCGCGGGGACTCGTGGAGAAGGCTTTGAACCAGCTGGGCGGGCAGCAAAGCTTTGCGCAGACGCATTCCTTCTCGCCGATCACCCTTGCCGATGTTGACCCGCGGATCCTCGACGCCCTCCGTCTGTTCTACCCGAAATTGCGGCACCGTGGGCTGGTGATGCTGAGCGTTCCTGGAGTCGGCAAGACGCCCGTCGGCATCGCGCTGCAGCTGCGCCTCAGCCGCGACCTTAATGAAGCCGAAGGAGCTTCTTGCAGACTTTCGTCAGAGGTGGATTTTTTTCGAGGTGAACCAGGTCGCGTGGGACGCGGCGACATCTTCGATGACGGAGATGTCTCATGCCAGACGATCAAGGCAATCAAGTGCTTCCTGGACGTGTCCCTCGTGGAGGCGGCCACGTGGGCGCGCTGGGGCGGCCGTCGCTGGGTGAAGGGGCAGCCCAGGTTTATCGTGGATAACAAAATCGACATCGACGCCGAGCCCGATGGCGCCGCAACGACTGTATCACATGAGGAGTTCGTTAAGATCATCAGCCCGATGTTTCTTCTTGGGGCTCTTCTGTCGGATAAGGAGGCCGTGCTCAAAAGGTCGCACTTCATGGTGCAGACGGAGCGATGGTTCTACCGCAGAGAGGCGACAGAGTGCAAGATCTCCGTGGAGAGGCAGCCATTCGATCGCAAGCATTGGCTGCGCGGTGACCGCCACCAGAAGTGGCAGAACTTCAACGACGGAGATATCCGCGCCCCCGCAGACTGAGGAGTGCTTGCGATAGGGGGCGCGAGTGGGTGGCGCTCGCGCGGGCAGCCCCGTTGCCTCCGCCTGAAAGCGAACAGCAGTCTGCCCCTCCTTTCGCTTATGTCAACCCGACGCCCTCGCAGACGCAGGCGTCTGGGATGGGTCCTGCGCGAGTCCGCGCTGACGCCGGCGGCGTATACAGACTCCCGCCGGCCATCTCGCTCGCCCCGCGCGCCGCAGACTCGGTCGGTGGTCGCCGTTTCCGATTCCCCTTGAATTTGCCGCCTAGCAGCGACATGGGTCTCGCGCTCGCGCGCGGCCCCTCGCCGACGACGCAGCGCGTCAAGCGCGAGAAAGCCGCTTCTGACGAAGTGGGGGGCGCATCTGGCCTGGCGCGCCCCCGAGATCAGAAGGCCATCGGCCACTCGCCCGTCAAGGGCGAACCTGGCGTTTTCAAGGAGCTCAAGGCGACGGGCGTGCAGGCGCTCATCGTCATCGACAGCGACGAAGAGATCGCCAGCTGCATGGGCGACCCCAGCTTTCAGCAGGAACAGGCAAGGCTGATGGCCGACATTCAGTCGAGACGCGGCCTGCATTTGACAGAACAGGAGGCAGCCGCGTCGGGAATGCCCGCGCCTGCGCGCCCTCGCGCGCGCCACGGCGAAGACGACAGGGTCGGCGGTGCATTTCGAGAAGGATTGACGAAGCTGTTCTGTGGCGCCTCGCCAGTTGCATCCGCCGAGGTGGGTCGGGCTCAGTTCAAGGACCTTGTTCTGCAATTATTGCTTTCGGATATCAGATTCGGTTTTCTTCTTTCTCTCGCTTAGTTCGCTTCCTTTTCCTTATCATTATCTTGTCATCTGTATGCTTCGCTCTTTCAGTGCGTCACCGGTCGATCCCGCTTCCGCCTGCCTCGTCGCCCGTGCTTGGGTGGTTCAATTGTCAGCTCCGCTACTGTGTCGAATTGTCTTTCTTCCCGCCCCAACAGGACTGCTGCCTTGTCGACAGCTTGAACAACATCGGCTTTGACGTGCAATACACAGCTGATGGGCCCTTCACGATCCGAGACGCCGAATCGTGGATCAAGAGCATGGGCTACGTGATTGACAAGGCCCATCATCTCGGCGGTCGCAGTGTTTTACCTGGCAGGTATATCGTTACGTATGGCACAGGGCCTACCGTGGTCGGCCATGCCGTGGGTGCCATCGTCACCCTGCGCGGCTTCACTATCTTCGACGGTGCAACCAAGGCCAACTTCAACGGCCCTGTGGCATGGCGCGAACTGCCTGGCGGCGTGCCGACGATGGCCTGCACTTGGTGGCGCGTCCACCAGTGACTGCTGTTCTGAAGGGGCTGCATTGGTTGGCGCATATGCAGCGCGCTAGCCAAGCAGCTGCCAGCGATGCAGTTGGAGCTGAGCCCACTGCCCGACATTGCTGAGTATGCGCGCTGTGTCAATTCAGGCTTGTGTGTCTCGCGTGTGCATGTCTTGTTTTTGTGATTTGATAGCGATCGTGCAGACAGATCGTCGCCCGAGCGCCGGCGTGATACTGCAAGACTTGCGCTGCCTTTGATTGGGTCAGGCGGCGATCAAAAACAGAGTGAGTTGAGGATTGGAGTTTGCACACGACGTCAGTGATGTTAGACTTGTTGATGCATCGCTCCAATTCTGCATTGCATCCGTAGTCATCGTGGCTCGCGGGAGCGATTTCGCCGCCTTTTGTTTGTACTCAGCACTGCGTTGCGCATTCCTTCCCATATCACTTAACATGCCAGGGCAGCGCATGGGCGAACGAGGCGTTCTGGGAAACTCGCCGCCCGCTCCTCTTACGCCTGATGGTTATCAGAAAGCCATATGCGAGGATTGGTTCTCGTCTAACACATCATTTGTTGCCAACGCAATGAAGAGCAGCGTGTGCTTTCCGAAAGAGTTCAAGACTGTGCTGGCGCTCGGGGCATCTTGCTTGCAAACCACTTCGGCCTCGTCAAGACAATCAAGCGCTGCTCCGAATGCCACGCTGCCGCGAAGATCTGTTGCCGAAGCAGGGAAGGGAAATCTATGACTTTTCGTTGGAGGTGCCCAGCGAGCGGGAGAAGCGGCAACTTGGATGAAGTGGTACAAGGAGTTGGCCCACTGAGGAAGATATCGGTACACTTGTGGCCAGCGTTCCTGCACTTGATAGTTGGGCTGCGTCGGAACGACCGCTTGATCTCCATCGAGTCCGAGCTGCGAGACGGGTATAACATCCACGACAAGCACACCATGCGATATTGGAAGAGGACCTACCAGGAAGCACTTCGCACGTCAGCAGTGTCTTGCGGAAAGGGTGCAATTGGCGGACCAGGCGAGGTCGTGGTGTTCGACGAGACGCAGATGGGGATCCATAAGGGTATCCGTACGCGCACCGACAGGCACCGCGCATCTCCAGACTCCAAGCCCGTGAGACGCGGCCGAGTAGCTCGGAGGCTGCCCGCGCGGACTACGTGGAAGAAGATTGCCGCCGCCAGCGTGTTTCGGAGACCTGCCGCGGCGAAACGCCCTGCCGCCGCCGGCGTTCATGGAAGACCAGCGGCTGTTCTCAGGCGCCCTGCGAGGAAAGGACCCAGAGTGAACGCCAGGTGGTTGTGGATGGCCGTCGCAGTTGGGAAGGGGCAAGAGTGCTACACTCACAAGAACGGCAAAAAGAGGATCACGTTCGCGTTCTTGCCTCGGCGCGAGAATGCGCTTGACGGAACTCCTCGCGGTCTCGCGCCAATGTCCCAAGTGATCAAGCGGCACATCAAGAAGCGGTCGTTCCTGGTCTTCGACGGGTGGAAATCTTCTGAAGCTGCGGTGAAGCAATTCGGTTTCCGCTACGCTCCGCCTGTGGACCATTGCGCAGGATGGCGGGGTCGATCCACGGGCTTCCACAGCAACGATATTGAGAGTGAGAACTCTCGCATGGAGATGTGGTTGCGGGCTCGCTATAGCAAGATGCCCGTGCTCAACGCAGTGGCCAGCGATGCAGTTGGCGCTGCAGATCAGCACGGTGCACCTTGTGCGGAAGAGCAGCTGATGCCACTGCCCGACCTTGCTGAGTATGCCCACTATGTCAACTCAGGAAATTCGATGGCAGTGGCGATGAAAGCGCTTGCCGATGCCCACGGCGGATCGTATGTGCCGTTTCGTTTCAACTGACGCTCCCATCGCGCATCGCGCGGGCACCCTTGTGCAGTGCGAGTGCTAGCGCGACGTGAGTTCTACCTTGCCCGTGCCCGCGACGAGTCGCGCGCACCGTTTCGCTTCCGATTGTTTTTTTCAATGATGCGGCATGCAAGCTCCCATTGTACAGAGTGGGCGCTAGCGCTGATTAGGTTCAATCTCTACAGCGGTGCGCGCGAAAAAAATGGAACGGGGGGGGGTACCCATATATATATATATATATATATATATATATACATTTCAGTACATATGTTTACATGTATGAATGTGTGTATAAAGTGTTCACGTATTTGTACATGTATCTGTATATGTCTAGAGTTGTGAATGTGTATGTCTGTATATGTATACATATCTTGTTCCCAGCTATCCTGTGGTGTTGGGTCCTCGATTGAAGAGACAACGCCTCGCGTTCCATCCTCCTCTCCTCTCCTCCTCCTCCCCCCCCCCCCTCCTCCCTCCTCCCCCTCCTTGCCCCTGCCCTCCGCATGCCCTCACACGTCGGCACACCTCTCGCACGTTTCGTGGCCCCATAGGTAGCATCACCGAAGGCCCCAGTGCAGGGTGCGCATGGCGCCACCTCATTAATTTCGGCACACCCCTCACACGTTTCGTGGCCCCACAGAGAGCTCCACCGAAGTCCCCTGTGGCAGGGTTGGCATGGTGTGACCGCACCCATGTCGCCACACCCTTCACACTTTTCGTGGCCCCATAAGAGGATCTCCACCGAAGGCCCTAGTTGCAGGTTTCGCATGGTGCCACGGCACCCATGTCGGCACACCCCCTCACACATTTCGTGGCCCCATAGGGAGCTCGGAGGAGGAGGAGGAGGAGGAGGCGGAGGAGGAGGAGGAGGAGGAGGAGGTGGAGGAGGAGGAGGAACAGGAGGAGGAGGAGGAGGAGGTGAGGAGGAGGAGGAGGAGGAGAGAGGAGGAGGAGGAGGAGGAGGAGGTAGGAGGAGGGGATGGATGATGATAGGGGGGATGTGGAGGGGGTGGGCATGGCCAGAGTAGGGTTCGGGGCATGCAATTTTTTCGGCCGGAGCCCCGGCCAGGTGTGGTGCTGGTTTCGTCACCCTGCTCAATCCCACCATGAGGCGGCTGACCCCCTTGTATCTTTCGGCGGTGCGCGCAGGGAGGAAGGTAAAGGGCCGGGCCTTCTCAGCATGCTCAGAAGGCCTGCGGCCTTTGATAAGCTTTCTAGGCCTTCTTCGAAGCCAGCGACGGTTCCTCAGACGGCCGGGCGGCTTGTGAGAAGCCGCCCCGCCGCCTTATGGGAAGGCCTGCCCCCTCTCCTGTTCCCTGTCGGCGCGCCGCCAGTTTGTGTCGTCACGCACCCATTCAGCCTGCGACAGCCTGGTATTGCACTTCATCAAACATGCTACGCTCTGGTTGCTTGCGGAAGATATGCTGTCACAGCCGTCTGGCCACAGCCGGGCTGCCTTTCATTATTCCTTGAGCCGTGCTCGTACTCAGGATTTCGTACTTGAGCTTTACGGGAGTGGATATGGCGTCCCGCAAGGAGTTTTCGGCGCTGTAGATTGCGCCCGTTGTCTGCAGCGATTGCTGTAGCCATGCGTTACGGCTATCGTTGCAGGCACTTGTTCGTGGCCGTATATTGCGCGCGTGGGTTGCGCCATAGGCTGCGCCTAACGCCCTAAGGTTTTTTCCGCGGCCATGGGTTGCGAGCGCGGGCCAGGCCACAGGTTGCGCGTAACCCGGGGATCCACAGATTGTGCGCCTGGGTTGCGCCATGCGCTGCGGCCAAGGCTTGCACACCGCCTCCCTAGATTCTTTGAGAGGCCGCAGGGTATGCCCACGCTTTGCGCCAGAGATGGCGGCCAGGGATTTTTCGTTGCGGCCATAGGTGGCGCGCTCTCGCCCTATCATTTTGCGGCGGCCGTGTGTTGGGCCCATGGGGTGCGCGGGGTGCGCGTGGCGTTGCGCTCATATACTGCTCTGCTTTGTATTGGTACATGTTGCTTTGATCTGCAGACCACTTCGGCGTCACGTAGACTTCACGAATCCACCGTCTCGGGTCCACGCTGGAGTCGCAAGGCTTGCCGTCCCCTTTGCCCTGCGCCGTGCTCTTCTTCGAGTCTGTTCCAGCTGCCCTGCGAGCGCCTCCAAGGCACCTCCAGGCAACGTCCCGAGCTTCCGGCCGATCCCCCCGAGGCCCCGCCAGGGCCCCAGGTCGGCTCCAGCCCGCACCAGCACGCCTCCATGACGGTCCAGGACCAGCCCCACTACGAAGGAGGAGGATGAGGAGGAGGAGGAGGAGGGCTGAGCTCGCTGGAGATCCCCCCAAAGGCCCCGCGAAGCCCCCAGGGCTGCTCCAGTCAGCACCAGTGCGCCTCTGCGACCAGCTCAGGACAAGCCCAAGCACGGCCCCAAGACGGGCCGCGGACCATGCCCAGCAGGCTCCTCGACGTCCCCCCTGGGGCGCCCCAGGATTGCACCCCACAGCATCAGGACCCTCCAAGACGGCGCCTGGACCCCCAGCATGTTGATTGACGCAGGAGTGACTGTATTTTGGAGCCGGTTGGAGGGCTGAGTGGCCTACCAGTGGTTCTGGCCAGCAGAAAGGGGGGAGACGAGGGCTTCCTCGTCGCAACGCCTGGACGCGGCTCGGCTTGAAAGATCAGTCAGTTTCGACCCAGGGGGGAGTCCAGGGACCGATTTTGAGCGGATTTGCTTTCGCGCCCTTCTCCAGACAGATCATCCGGGGGCCCATCCGGTGCAGACCCCCTCTGCCGCTTCCAGCCGACACCTGCCACGCCCTGCAGATACGAGGTGCGCATCGACTGCGGGCACTCGGACGCATCGCTGGCCAGGAAGTCGGCGAGCGCCTCGGCCTGCCCGAGCCCCTCGTCGCTCGGGCCCGGGTCGGCCTGGCGCCCCGCCTGCCACCGCTCTGGCGCCACGCCCGGCTCCTGGGCGCGCTCCTCTCCTCCGCCCCCCTGCGGGCAGGGCTGGTGTGGCGATATGCACATCCACTGCGACTTGGACTTTTCTAGGAAGGGGCGCCAGACGGCTTCTCCGGCCAGTGGATCCCTGGGCCCCTTCGGTGAAGCGCGGCTGGGCCTCGGGCTGCGGGCACGCCCCTTCGCTGGAGGCGTCGGAATCTCTGCGCGCCCCCAGCAGGCTGCGCACGGGCTCTGCGCGCACAAACCACGCCCACGGAGGAGCGCCTGCGGGCAACTGCAGCCGAGCTGGGCCTCCAAGCGAGCACTGCCCGCCACTTTTTTTGTTTTTTTTTTTTTTGTTTTTGTCTTTTTGTTTGTTTTTTTTGGTTGTTTCCCATTTTTTGTTCAGCAAATATTTAATATAAGAAAAACACGAGCGAAAGGTTTGGAAGTGATGCGGCCGCCGCTCCATCGCGGTAATCGCGCGCTTCACTTCCGTTCCCGGAGCTCGTCGGGCGACTACCAACTACCTTCTCAGTTGCCAGACGTTAGGGCAGCAAGCGGCCGCGGGATCATCGATGATGATGCAACCTCCACAGTTTTACACTCATGTGCACAGGTGTATCTGTGTATATTTGTTTGGTTCGTTTGTATGTCTGAATGTTCATATGCATGTATGTATGTATGCATGCATACATGCATATATACATACATATGTATATACATGTGTCTATGTTTGTATATATGTATGCATATATTCACGTATTTCTTCATACATGTATGCATGTATGCATGTATATATGTATGCATTCATGCATGCATGCATGTATGCATGTATGTCTGTATGTGCGTATGTGTGTGCATGCATGTCTGTCTGTCTGTATGTATGTCTGTCTGTCTTTCTGTCTGTCTGTATACATGCATGCATGTATGCATGCATGTATGTATGTATGCATGTATGCATGCATGCATGTATGCATGTATGCATGTATGCATGTATGCATGTATGCATGTGTGATGTATGTCTGTATGTATGTCTGTATGCCTGTATGTCTGTATGTCTGTATGTCTGTATGTCTGTATGTCTGTATGTATGTATGTATGTATGTATGTATGTATGTATGCGTGTATGCATGTATGTATGCATGGTTGTATGTATGCATGCATGCATGTATGTATGTATGTACGTATATATGTATGTCGGTGCCGTTGTGCATGCATGCTTGTATGTATGTATGCATGCATGCATTAATTGCATGCACGTATGTATGCATGCATGTGTTTATGAATGCATGCATGTATGCTTATATGTATATTCGCATGTATGTATGTACGTGTGTACGTCTGCATGCATGCATGTATGCATGCACACATGCATGTATGCATGTATGTATGCCGTTCTGCCTGCATGCATGTATACATGTACTTGTGTATGCATGTCTGCCTGTCTGTCTGTCTGTCTGTCTGTATGTATGTATGTATGTACTGTAATGTAATGTAATGCAATGCAATGCAATGCGATGCAATGCAATGTATTGTAATGTAATGTATATATGTATGTTTGCATGTATGTATGTATGCCTGTATGTATGTATGTATGTATGTATGTATGTATATATGTAATGTATGTATATGTGTATGCATGTATGTATGTAAATATGCATGCATGCATGCATGCATGCATGCATGTATGTATGTATGTATGTATGCATATATATGAAGGTATGTATGTATATATATGTGCATGTATGCATGTATGTATGTATGTATGTATGTATGTATGTATGCATATATATATATATGTATGGATGTATGTATGTATGCACGTATGTATATATGTATGTATGTTTGTATATATGTATGAATGTATGTATATATGTATGTATGTATGTATGTATGTATGTATGTATGTATGTATGTATATATGTATGTATGTATGTACGTATGTATGTATGTATGCATGCATGCATGTATGTATGTATGTATGTATGTAGGTAGGTAGGTAGGTAGGTAGGTAGGTAGGTATGTATGTATGTATGTGTGTATGTATGTATGCTTGCCTGCCTGCCTGCCTGTATGTACGTTTGTATGTATGTATGTACGTATGTATGCACATGCAGATGGATATGACTGTACATGTGTATGTGTATAATACTATATATAGGTGTGTGTCTATATAGTTCTGTATGTATTCACGTGTGTAAATGCATCGAATTTGCATCTTGGGGGCGGGGTGGATGGGAAGTCTGGGAAAACGACAGCCATGTGGTGTGAGTGCCCCTGCAGCTGCCGTGCAGTGGTGAAGCCCCCCGCCGGCGCCGCCGGCGACCACCCAGTCCGCGCACGCGCCCCGTCCCCCCAGCGCCGATTTGTGCCCCCTGTCCTCCTCCTCCGCCTCCTCCTGCTTCTCCTCCTCCGCCTCGTCTTCCTCCTCCTCTTCTTCCTCCTCCTTCTCCTCCGCCTCTTCTTCCTCCTCCTCCTCGTCCTCGTCCTCCTCTTTCTCTTTCTCCTGCCCCTGGCCGCCAGGGGCGTGGAGAGCACGTGCTGCCCCGCCGGGGAGCAGCGGTGTGCCGGGTGCTCGTCGTGGGCTCCCAGCGGCGACGCGAACGGGACGTGCGCGAGGTGCAGGGGCGGCTTCATCGACCGCCAGGCTGGCGGGGCTCGCCGCGCCTGGGGGGCACCCTGGCTCCCGGCATCGCTCGGGCGTGTGCACCTTCCCTCGGCCAGGACCATCGAGGAGGAGGAGGAGGAGGAGGAGGAGGAGGAGAAGGAGGAGGAGGATCATCTCGCGAAGACAGCACGCGCGCAGCCGAAACGTGCCCAGGGAATGGGCGTCCGAGCGACGGCGAGCTCTTCGGAGGGGCAGGATCGGCGGAGCGCGCCCCGGGTGGGTGAGGCGAGAGGGGGGGCCGGCCCTCTCAGGGGGCGGCGGCGGGGCTTCTCGGGAGCCCTGCAGCCTTCCGCGAGGCCGTCTGTATCTTCTGACGCCCTGTGCTTTGTCTCCCTAATTAAAGCTGTGCGTTGCCCGCCTAGCTATTACCGGAAGAGGTTCGCTCTCGCCCCGCCGACCAAAAAAGTATCTTCCGAGGAGGCTCAGGAAGCTTCTCAGAAGGCTGGAGGCCTTCCGAGCCTTCTGGGAAGGCCCGCCCCCTCCGACTTCCCCCCTGGGCTCGCCGCCGACGAGGGCAAGCGGTCATGGCAGTGATACGTTGCAGAACTTCGAAGACTTCCAGACTGTCCAAAGGTTCCCTGATGCTCCACTCGGGCTGCGGAAACGAGGACCGCCAGAAGCCCCAGAATTCCTGGAACGTACCCCGAAACGATCGCATCATGATATCGCGAAGGTCTCACGGCCGGTGCCGCCGACCCTGTTCGCTAGGACGAGGGGGAGAAGGAGGGCTGGGAGGAGGAGGAGGAGGAGGAGGAGGAGGAGGAGGACGAGGAGGAAGAGGAGGACGAGGAGGAGGAAGACGAGGAGGACGAGGAGGAGGAGGACGAGGAGGAGGAGGAGGAGGAGGAGGAGGAGGAGGAGGATTTTCCAAGATTTCCTGATGCTCCTCGCGGGCCGCAGAAGGCACGCCAGAGTTCCTGGAACGTGCATCCTGAGCCGATCGCATCCTGATGTGTATCTCGTCCTCTTCCCGCTCCTGGTGGCGCTCCTCGTGCTGCTTCTTCTTCTTCTTCTTCTTCTTCTCCTCCTCCTCCTCCTCCTAAGGAGGAGGAGGAGGAGGAGGAGGAGGAGGAGGACTGAGGACGAGGAGGAGGAGGACGAGGAGGAGGAGGACGAGGAGGAGGAGGAGGAAGATGATGAGGAGGAGGAGCAGGAGAGCAATCACAACAATACAACGATACTGCCGGTAACAACGAACGGTACCAAGCGGCAGCAAGAGGAGCAGCAGGAGGAACAGCAGCGGGGGGATGAGGAACGCCTCCTTCTCCTCTTGTTCCTGCTGCTCCTGCTGCTGCTCCTCCTGCTGCTGTTCCTTCTGCTGGTGGCGTACGTTACCAGTTTTCAGCCTCGGATCGTCTCAGCCCTCTACGCACGTGACTTTTGTGTGTCGGACTGGAGTATAGACACCACTCAGTGCTACCGTGTACACCTCCAAAACATGTTGCACGCGCTCTCACGTTTCAGTCATAACAGGTTGGCTCAGGGAAGCGATGAAGCAGTCCCCTTTGCGATGCGCAGCGGTTCCCTGCGAGCTGCGATGCGACAGCGCCGAGCTCTGCGCGACGGGGCAGCGCCGCGCGTTAGGGGAACCCCTGCCGTGTGGGATGCGAGCACTTGTCGTCAGTTGCACTTCTCGTCGCGACCTCCCAGGTTCCCACGAAAGTGGCCACCGCCGCGCACTTAGTGGCGCAGTCTCCGTCCGCGTAGCACAGTGCCATTGACGCCTCTAAGACATACTGCAACCTCTCTCGCGTTTCAGTCACAACAGGCTGGCGCAGGGAAGCGATGAGGCGGTCCCCTTTGCGAGAAGCGGAATGCGCACTTCGTGGTGCAGTTGTCGTCCACTTAGAGCGCAGTGCCAATGAACGGGTGGCCTTCGAGCCGTGCAGCTGCGGTTCCTGGGGTCGTGGACACGAGAGGACCTCTCAGATGCCTCTCGGGGGTCCCTCGGAAGGCCTCCCGCGGCCCCTGGCAGGCGTCTCCCGTGGGGCCTCCTGGTGACGTTCTGGGCGCCGCTTGGGGCCTCTAAGGGGCCCTCTTGGGGGCCTCGATTTCGGGGCGCACCTTGGTAGGCGATTCTCGGGCGCCTCCTTTCGCCTTGGGCGCCTCTTGGAGCCCTCTTGGGGGCCTCTTGGGGACCCAGCGG